AAGAGAAGAGAGACAGGTAGAGGAACTTAGAGGGACTAGTAGAGGGAGAAAGAGAGCGAGAGAGCGAGAGTGGAGCTCAAGTGGGAGAAATGACAAGATGGATGGATGCTAGAAAAGCCCCCCTTAGGCTAGGATGACTAGACTTGACTAGTAGTAGCAGTAGGTCCGGACCCAAAGGGCGTTTTTGGACCGTGGAGGGCCAAAGCTTAAGTGGGAAATAGTGGGAGGGGGGAAAGAGGAGATGCAGGTAGTTGATGCAGGTGATAGAGAAGAGAGTGAGGGAGGGAAGAGGAGGGGTAGAAGAAGAAGAGATTAGGGGGAAAACGATTAAGATAGAGGAAAATAAAAGACAGAAAATAAATTGCAATAGAAGGGAAACAAAAAGGAGGATGAAGATGAATGTAGTCTAGAGATATTGTAGTGAGCGAAGTGAGTTGAGTGAATGGAAGGTCGACCCCCCGGGGGTATGAATTGGGATGGGATGAGATGGAATCGGGGAGTGGGTTTGAGTGCGAGACACGGACAGACGGACAGGCAGACAGAGACAGACAGACGGGGGGAGAAGGGAAAAGAGGAGAATCGACCACGGTAAGTGCAGATAAGCAAGAGGAGGCGAGACAGTCAAGCTTCTCTTGGGCCGTTCGTGGCTCGGCAGTTTCCACTCACTCACTGCTCGGCTGGAGCTGGAGCAGCCTGGACTGGAGCACCACTAATTACTGTACATGCCCTGATTTTCTCCATCTTATAAATCAACAACAACAAAAACAACAACAACAAAAACAACAACAACAACAACAACAACAACAACAACAACAACACTGAGTAACTTACACTAACTACAGTACAATCATCATCTTCACCATCCCCCTCACCTCAATCAAAGATCTCCCGCAACCCCTCCCCCTCCACATACTCCTCCTCCCCATAACATTCGCGCTGCAGCGCCCGCAACACCTCCCGATCCCCGCCGGTCAGCCGATCGACAAACCCTTCCAGCACATAAATATTCTCCGTCCACATCAGCGCCTGACGCCGAAACTCCTCCGTCTCCTCCACCACGCACGACAAGCTTTTCTCCTCAACAACACCACCACCACCACTGGATCCCGAAACCGCCGTCACCTTCCCCTGCAGATGACGAATCTCCTCCTGCAACTCCACTTTCCGTAGCATTAGCCGCTCCCTCTCCTGTTCCCTATCATACCCAATACCACCACCACCCGCCTCCCTCACCCTCACCCTCTCATCCTCCACCCTCTCCCTCTCCTCCGCAGCCTTCCTCTCCCTCACCAACGCCTCCAACTCACTCACCTCCTTCCCCACCAGCTCCACCTCCGCTTGCACCGCGCGCAACCGGTTCTCGCGCTCGCGCTTCGCCTCCCCCGCGAAACACCAGTACCAGTTCAAACTCCCGATCTTCTCCATGGGGATCTCATTCTCGTCCGCCAGCTCCTGCAGGAACTCCTTCACTTGGATCGCGTTGATCGAGGCCACCGCCGGCAGGGACTTCTCGAGGTCCTTCAGCGTGTGGCAGGTGCCGCTGGCGCGGAGGTGCGAGACGATCAGGGCCTGTTTGGCGCTTTTGGTGAGTTTTGGGGGCTTGAGTTTCGGGATTAGCTGGGCTGTCGGTAGCGAATTGTGTAGTAGAGGAAGGGGGGGGGGGTCAAGGTAAGTGAGGTGTAGTGTGAGGTGCTAGCCGGGGTGGGTGGACCCCCACTCCCAGTCGGCTTACCATGATTGCTAATCGCAAGGCTTGTTTGTGAAGACGTAAACGTAGTCGTAGTCGTAGTCTTGTGGATCTGAGTCAAATAATGGCAGTTGCTGGTTTGTTTGTGTGGGATCAGCACTTTGGAGACCAGAATGGTGATTGTGATTGTGGAGGGTGAAAAGGTGCTGTAGTGGTGGTGGTGTGCCATTTTGCTGTAATTTACCAGGTACGGCAGGTACTCACACAGTGAGAACAGTCTTTGGTGGAACAAGATGGATGGTCCGTACTGGCCAATCTACCTTAACTTACTGCCTACGCCGCACTAAAGAAGACAATCTCACGCATGCCGAATTGGCACTATGACCTTTTCAAGGTTAGAAGACCTATCAGCCCTATTGGGACAGTACTCAAAGTAGACAGCCTATCAAGTTCATGTTGACGCCTGCCACCCATGCACCCCTCCTCCGATCAGACATGCACCTCCCGGACAAAGCCCCCCTCCTTGGAAGTCTCCTCAATGTGGTGGATCTCATTACCCCCCTTTCCAACTCCGGCCACTCCTCCCACCACCGCCTGGTCGCCATCGAAGTGCTTCGCGATCTCCTCAAGGGGGGTGTTACGGGTCTCAATGTAGAAAAACCAGACGACCGTCAACTCGACCCCGAGCCAGACGCAGTAGAAGATGTAGTACTTCCAGCCCAGGTTGTCCAAGGCAATGGGGTTGATGTATTGGTTGAAGAAGACTAGATTGGAGTTAGTGTTGGTCCTTATCATTGGCCTTCCGGAAAGAAAAAGAAAAACTCACGTGCAGCATCGATGCAGAACCACATCACTGTCATGCCCTTAGCGCGGATACTGTAGGGAAGAATCTCCACCGTGTAGCCAACCAGTAGGCCAGACCAGGCGACATTGTAAAAGACATAGTAGATGTAGATCATCGCCACGACGGCGTTGGCAGCCCCGTGGTTATGAGCAATCTCATACCGCGCCGAGCAAATGGTCCAGATGATAAATGCGACCAACATGCCACTCGTGGAGATCAGGAAAAGCCGGCGCCGGCCGACCTTGTCCACAACAAAGCACATCGAGAGAGCGACGATGAAGTTCAAGATCTGGAGGCAGCCGTTGATCAGGTTCTGCTCGACGGACTTGGTATATCCGATGGAGGTCAGGATCTTCGCAATGTAGTACGAGACCAATCCGTTGCCGGACCACTGCGAGAAGAGGCCCGCAGTGATCAAGATGATTACGCGGTGACGGTTTCCTTTGGTCCGGATCAATTCCATCCAGCTGTTGCTTTCGTACTCCTTCTCCAGTCGGATGGTCTCCTTGATCTCGTGCATCTCCAGCTGGACGACTTCGTCCTCCTGGTTGCCGTTGGCATGGCAGTCCGCCAGGACCTTCAGGGCCTGCTCATGTTTGCCCTTGTAGATCAGGAACCGGGGAGACTCCGGGACAAACCAGATGAAGAGGATCTGCAGGATGGATGGAGCAGCCTGGACGATCGTGGGTGCCCGCCAGGACCAGTTGTTTTGAATGTTGTTCGTGCCGAAGGTGAGCCACGCGGCAATAATGGCGCCCACGTACCATGTCGCTAAGACAGGAATCAGTATTGAACGGACAATCAACATAGTATCAGAGCCTACTGTTGTAGATCGTGGTAAAAACGGCACGATGTTGCGTATGTACAAGCTCCGTGATCAGTAAGGGTGAAGCACCATGCGCGATGGCGACTCCGAACCCGATCAAGAACCGGGCTGCCAGGAACATGCCATAGTTGGCACTGACGGCCTGCAAGACGACGCCCAGGATCCTGACCACACAATGAGCATAGCACAGAGTCGGAACAGTAGCTTGAGACACTCACATGATGAGGCAGCCGATGAGAACTCCCATCCGCCGGCCGAGGTAATCCGCTGTATAGGGCACCGCAGGCAGCGCCGCCAATGAGCCCAGGGACATGATCGCACTCAGGATGCCAAGCTTTGAGCCACCAGGATTATGGAAGTAGTCTTTCCAGTAGTACAGGGTCTGAAGACCATTCATCATCGACCCATCGTAGCCGTTCGTTGCCTGAGACCCTGTCAGTAACGTGTCATGCGCCGGGAAACCCTCGCCGGCCAAGTGTATGCACATACGGAAGTCAATACGACAAACATGAGGCAAATGTACGTTTTCCTCATGCCAGGATCCTTGTACCATGTCACTCGGGGAAAATGCTGGCCAGCGAGCTCGAAGGTCCCGGAAGAACCCATGGTGACCGTTCAATGCGTAAATCCAGAAGCGTGGGAAAGGTACTGTAGGACACTCAGCCAGTTTCCTGCATAAGAGTTCCAGAGAAAGAGGACATCCTTGAGGCGCGGGGACAGGCTTAAAATCTAGTGTCTGCCAGCTTTACCATCCGGCTATTTGGCATACGAGGAACATGCAGAATGTCCACCGGTCTAGGAGAGCTCGCGAGCTCGCGGCTAAACCTAGGTAACGCCTAAACAGATGCAGTCGCCTGCGAATAGCTACACGGGGGAAGAATCAGGGCCTGGCTCTAACATTATCCAAAGGGAACGACGGCCTAGTCCCAAAGTCCGGTCTGGCAGTGAGCCAAAACTGAAGGTTGGGCCGGGCCGAGAGCCTAGGCATGTTTAGAAGATGCTAGCTAGACGAGTCGACCACGGCCAACCACCCTGATTCACAGACTGGAGATGTGATCTTGATTTAGGCTAAACATTGAGCATGGAGCTGGTGCCAGGGAGAGGCCCACCACGATCATCCCACCGAAATCTGGGGATGCGGTCCGGGGTGCAGAGAGTGGAGGGTCTAGTTTCATCGACCCAAGCGTAAACGAGTGTCTAGTCCACAAGTCGCAATGGCCAAGACCTTGGCCTGCGCCTCCCGGGACGGATTTGACATTGCGTTACAGTTCCCGATGATGGGCGCGACTGGAGACTGGTTGGCCACGTTGGACGAGCCCGAGCTAAATTAAAACCCTCGCTGGAGGCGTAAGAGCTAGGCGAGTGATACGCTGGCCACTTTCCACAAGCAACGGATAATATCATGCGCTCTCAGCTGATGGGGTGAGGTGGTCACTTGACACATGCCACTGCGTGCTGACAGTGTTCCGTCTGTGGCTGTTTCCAAATTACCCAACTCGTGTTGTTGGCTATTAAGCATCTATTGGTAAAGTGGTTCATGGGTAGTTAAACCGTGCCTCGGCCATTGACCTGGATTCATGAGTTTGGGGCTGTGGTTCAAGTCATGCGAAAAGAGTTTCAGGTGGCGATACAAACATTCTTTTACATGACCTGGGGCTTGACCCTGCATACCGTCTAGGCCTTGAACGCAAGGACAGGGTGCATTCGGCGGTGGGGATGCGCCACGCGGTATATGCAGTGTATCTTAGCTCGAATTGGCTGGCAGTATAGGCTTCCTTAACCAAGTAGAATGCCCCCTCAAGTATGCTGAGTTGCCTCGCCGCTGACGAACCTCCAATCAGCAGGAAGGGGGGAGAGGTCGGTTCGATCACAACCTCAGACCTCATAGTAGGTCATCAAGCTCGGTGTCCATATCACTCGTCCAAGCCTTCCGAGCCAATTTGCGCTTCTTCTGTCGCTTTAAGGGAGCCTTTATCTCGTCACCAGAGCTGGCCATCATACTATTCTGTGTATTCGCCCGTTTGCGACCTACGCGCCGGCCCGATTGCGAAGGCAGCCGATCCTCGTCGGTAGAAATTTCCTCCCCTTCGACGAAGACCAGGTCGCCCGTCTCACCCAGCGACTCTTTGGCCATCTCCTCCAACAGTATCCCCATTGCGATTAATGCGGTTTCGTCCATACTGTGGTGGTCGTCCTGGCCGCGGTCAATGGTCGCGTGATCGTAGAAATCGGCCGAGTAGGCATGTACAGCTTCTAGCAACTCGGACGAGGGAAGCTGACGGTCGGCTGGGAGGGATTCATGGGCGAAATAGAAGTCGTTTTCCTCGTAGCGAATGGGCGCATTCTGCCGACGGAAAAGCACCTCTTCAGGGCGAACCGAACGCCTGCTCGACGAGGCTGTGTCGCGGTTCTTGGAGGCATACGGCACGGCGGGTAGAAAACCATGCGCGTTAATCCGGCCTTGACATTCGGATCGTCAGATTGGACTCGCTGTGATTAAGAGTGTATGATAGAGAACGCCTGACTCACCTGCTACGGCATCGTAAACTGTTGCCAATCGTCGCTGTTTGGTCACCTCCGCCTCATCCTGTCGGTCATCCTCCGGCTCGTCTCCGAGGTCGGGCGGCTTGACAAAGGAATTCTGGCTGAGCGCCAGAGATCTACCGTGCGACATAGCGATAGCCGTCGGTGCAGGACAAGCTCGACATGTGCGAGAGCATCAGGAAAGTTGCCGCGCCACTGGAAGATGGGGGCCGTGCCTCGCTGCTGAGATTAGAGACCGGGGACCGTCTGGATCCTGCCAGGATAGATTGTGTCTCTGATTTTGGTTTGGTTTGCGACAGTCGGACCCGGGCCAGAGCGGGGAGAATCACGTCTTTCCACTTTAGGACAGCTTCCCGGTTCAACATTCTTCCGTCCCCGCAGCCGAGGGAGGCACTCCTCCATCAGCGCAAAGCTGTGATGAACGTCACCTCACAAGACCTAATAACTATAATCTAAATGCGATATATCCCGATGAATGAATGAATTCTTACATCCTCAACAGGACTCTGGGGTCCATTCATCCATCCACGTTTCATGTCGCGCAGACAACTCGCCTTGTCCTAAACCTTGAGCCGGCGCCCGGTATACGCTTCTCCAGTCAGCACAATACTCAATTGGCGCATGGTCGATCCCAAGATATTCCAGATGGGTCCTTGGACTTGGGCTTAGAAGAAGAGACGTTTGCTCATCGAGCCGGAGTCAAAGTACTTGCCATTGATAACAATGAAGGCAGATTGTACGCCCCCTCTCGTCCCCAGTTGCAAGTCTTCATACTGAAGGCTATCTCAGCATGGTCTCCGGCGGCGCAGACCCGTCCATTCACCTATGGGATCTGGAGTCCCGCGGATCCGAGCTGAATCATGTCCATCGCTCGGTGGCATCGGTCAATAAGGCGTCGCATGAGGATGCGCACACGCATGCGATCACCTCCATCTCGATCTACCCCTTCGATCCGACGCCGTCGACCATCCTGACCACCTCGCACGATGGCACGCTCAAGCTCTCCGCACTGTCTCCGGAGGCCATCATCCCCGTGCACACGTTCCGCCTCGACTGCACGCCGTACACCCACGCCATGTCCTCGCACCCGGGCGCCCCGCTCCTCATCGCCGTGGGCACCTCCGAGAAAGCCGTGCGCCTGCTGGACCTGCGCTCGGGGCTATCAACGCACGGCCTGCCCGGCCACGAATCCGCGGTGCTCTCCGTCGCGTGGGCGCCGCACCAGCCGCATATTCTGGCGACGGCCTCCACGGATAACCGGGTGATCCTCTTCGACATCCGCCGCGGCGGGCACAACTCCGCCATCGCGGCGCTGCACATGGACGACGCGGTGGGCCTCGTGCGTGCCCCCACCACCGCCCCGCCCTCCTACCAACCGCGGCCGGCCTTCTCGCCGCATGTGCGCGCGCACAACGGGGCCGTCACGGGCGTCCGGTGGACGTCGACCGGCTCGCACCTCGTCACCGCCGGGCAGGACGCCCGGATCCGCGTCTGGGACGCGGGCACCGGGGCGAACACGCTGGTGCACTTCGGGCCCCGCGTGCGCAACAGCGTCTCCTCCCACCTGGCAGAGCGGGCGCCGCTCGTCGTCCCGCGGGGTCTCATGGCGGCCGGGCAGGAGACGCTCCTGTGGCCGAATTTCAACGAGCACGACGACCGCGGCGAGATCTACATGTTCGAGCTCCGCGAAGGAGCGTACATCAAACGGCTCCGGGTGCCCGGACTGGCGACCACCGGACCGCAATTTCGTGGCCGGTCGACCGCATTGAGCGCCGCACGGATCAACTCGCTTGCCTGGCGCGGCAACGGGGCATCCGGCGAGGGGATCGAGATGTTCTCCGCTCACGGCGACGGCACCATCCGCGGCTGGGTGTCGAGGGAGCCGAAAGGGGAACCGGACGAGGCGGAGGAGGCCGAGCGAGCCGACCGCAAACGCAAACGCGATGTACTGGACGAGATCTACCGTGGCTTTATCGGTTGATCGTGCTGGTATACACATATATATACCAATGTAGCATACGCAGATACATCCACATGAATATACATGCACATTTATATTCAACTACAACGGGTGGAATTGATCATGACCATATCATGCGATTCTCATTATACAACAATCAAGACCCGTCCAAAACCCAGGCCGGTCAACCTTCAAAAAAGATCTATAATACATTTGATTCCATCCAAAATATCGTTATCCATCATGCAAAGTCGCATACCAGCCGCGACTCAATAATCCCATCCCAAAAAGAAGTCGTCATCATACAAGACAAAAACGATCAACACCATTTACTCGTTCCGAATCTGATGCTCCCCGGCCGCGTCATCCTCCTCGGCCGCGAAGCGGTCAAAGGCCCCGCGGTTCATGTTCCGGTGCTTCAGGTCGCGGCCGTGGCCCTTGGCGCCCGGGTGCTGGTTGCCGATGAAGGTGCGCTTGGACTCGCCCTCGGCGGGGAAGGAGTTGCCGGTGCCGGTCAGGACCTCGCCGGTGGCGCCCATGTCGCGGGCGCTGCGCGGCATGTCGGTGGCGTTGTCCGCGGCGAAGGCGGAGGAGGGCTGGGCGACGCCGTAGTTATCGAAGCCGCCGTGCTCGGCCCGCTGGTCCGGGCGCGGCACGGACGGGATGGTGTTCTGGAGGCCGGCGTCGTTGGGGATCGAGGTGCCCGTCGGGGCCATGTCCTCGAGTCTGCCGCCGCGGTGAGGAGAAGACATTATGGTGGTGGTGGTGGTTGTTTGGGATATGTGAGGTAGGACAAAAAAATTCGGTTGACTTGTGGTGGAAAAGGTTTTCGTTCGAAGTTATGTAGAGTTATTGGCTTTGAATCTGGTTCGAGCAATATAGTCGTGCAATTTCGCAAGGGTTTATATACATGTAGTCGATTGCAAGCAAAGGTGGGTGGTTCAATCTGATGTCACTTTTTTCGCCCTCCAGCTTGGGTCAATGATGAAGCTATGATATCAGATCCCTATGCAGTCGATCACCTTACTCATATTTTCGGTGTTTCGACCTGCATTCAATTCGATTCCCAATGCCCATAAAAGTGGAGGTTATGATGAAATACTTTCGCTCGGAACATGAAATGGTCGAGTCCATGATTTGGTATGTCCACAGTCGTGGACGTGGACAGTCGAGATTCTAGAATCGACTCTGAGTTTGTATGGATGGTTGGGGTTAAAGTTAGGCCGCGGTTGCCGCCTTCCACCTGGTCTACTGCTACATTGTGATCATTGAACTACACTCACTGAACAGCCCTTATGATTTTTGAGAACGAATTGCTGTGACAACTTGGTTCAAGAAGCATCGCATGGCCTCAACGCCTTTCAAATTCCTCGACTTCTCCAATATCGCCGTGGGTTGTATCGCTGATGTCATGGTTGGAACTGACTAAGCCAGCCGACCCCTTCACGGTCGAGATGCGATGCGATGCGTTCATTTTGCCACGGATGAAATCTGCTAGCTCCAATGAGAAGAGACTGGCTGGAGCACACTGTGCCTGGCAATGATCCATGACTGAAGAGCTCTTGTTCAAGTATGAAGGTGGTGCTTTTAGGAGCTCATTAGCTGTAGCTAAGGGTGTAGAATTACATATTCTAGAATTTTAATCAAATGCTATACCGGGCCCGAATGTCATACTTCGATATACAGCTAAAGCAATCCACAAAGTCCACATAATAATGGGAAGGCAACGATCAGGGATATATGATCAAGGGGAAAAGGTGAGAGAGCATGCAGTCAATAAATCATACCGAACGTAAGCGCAACAAATTGAAGATATGGGTTTCTGGGGTCTGTAGCGAAGAGATACAGTCCCTGGTGTAATCAATCATCATAAGCAAAGCCAAACACGTAAAAGCAACTCCAGTAACTCCTGGCCCGGGGTATGGGGGTATGACTGTCTGCGTCCTCGCAGTTATCGCCGCTCGTTCAATGCTGCCGCCAAGAAATGAAAATCGCTCGTCATTGTTGTCCGGCCCAGCGGTCAACATGATGGTGGTATATGTAAAAGTCAAATGACTGTATAAAACAAAGATCCGATGAATAGATCAAGGCAAACAATGTAATGTCTAGGGGGTATCTGGACTTTTTCCTGAAATGTGCAGATAGGTGATGAGGCGTAGAATGCCGATAGCCAGCTCGTGCATCCGGTTTTCCTCGAGCAATTAAGTGCTCGCTCTTCTCTCAGGTCCGTGGGCCAAGTTTATCGGATTCTTCGGGTCGGTAGTATTCTCAAGCCCGCTTGAGTAAAGATCCCTTCAAGGGTATAGAATAGAATGCAACGAGCCGCGATCCCGTCGCAGAAGAATGAAAACCCTAATTAGTAATTTTAGAGAAGCAGATAATCCCAGCCATTTTGCTGCATCACTTCCCGCCAGTGGATGAACGGTTTCTTCACTTCCTCTGTATCCCAGTGTGCAGGACTTTCCTTCGGGGACTCAGACTTTTCGCGCTTGATGGGGCTGCTGCCGTTCGCTGAAGACGAGGGGCTAGCATCCTGGCTCGGTAGAGGCTCGATAGGCTCGTCTGACACCCGCCACACTTCCTTTAGAACTCGGTACATGCGGCCAAAGCTGCCCAAGTCTGCGTGGTCACCAAGAGCCGCGGCGCGGTCGGCGAGAACGTTGCGGAAAGAGCTGTTCGGCGCGGAAAATGCCCCTGTGATAAGCAGAGGCCAGACCAGCGAACGATCGAATCCTTCTGGTCCAGATGGAATGTACTGAATAGCATTGGCAACCGCTGCTACCAGATTGACGTTACTTGGTTGGTGACGGTCAAATCCAGGAACCAGACTGCAGAGGTAGATCCTGGCTGCAAGTCGGAAAATCGCCGTGATGTTGTTGGTCAGGACCGTTGGGGAGAAAGCTCCATTAGGCAGGTACGGGCTCTCCAAGGGCTGGTTTGGCGATTCCGTGAATTCCAACTGCTGCCCCAGGGCGGAAACGTGAGAACAGACCGCCAGGTCATCGATCCTTCCCTCCCTTTTCAATGCCTCCAAGCAAGTAATCTCCGAAATCAAGTACATGACGCGATCATCGCAGCCCATGAGTTCACGTAGACCCAACGATGTTCCACTCAGGTGCTTGGAGCGATAAGTATGTGCGAACTCGGGCGTCTTTCCATGCATGGTAGAGCCTAGGATATCGATCCAAGAAGCCAATGTCATGGTGAATGGAGGCGGCATGTATGGGTTCCCGCAGGGAGGTACAGGCGACGATAGGCCCAGTCGGTTCACTAAGTTGGATGCGGCTTGAAAGTGATCGAACCATGGGATATCCGGGAGATAATCGTCCGCGGGACCCACGGAACAATGGAAGAAGATCATGGCAAGAGTTGCATCGAGAATCTCTTCGTGGTTAGTATCCTCTCCAAGAGCCAAGCAGAGCTGTGAAACTGCCTCGAAACGGTTGCGCATGATATCGTGGTCAATCTGCTCTCCAACAATACCTTCTGTCGTTTTCCTGTGGATAGCGGCCACACTCAAGCAGCAGTGAAGGTAGCACTTGTTAGTTTCCAAAGCCTGAAGAATCGCTTGAGCTCGCACATGTCCGCGTTGGTGAGCTTCCAGCACAGGAAAGATAATGCGTAGAACATTGTAGATAAAGTGATCGAGAAGCGGGCGGTCATGATCACTGACGGGTATGCTTGACTGCAGGATCGCGTATGTCTGTCCGATAGTTTGCTCGCAGAGTGCTGGATCAAGTCCCGGAAGCGTAGGAACTTGCGCGAAATACTCATCCTGGAACCAATCTTCTCCGGGGAAGGTGGGCAGGGGAGCGTTCAGCTGGGGAGGAGCAAATGTGCTGAATGTCGAGCTGCAAGAATCGTGGCGTAGTGGGATGTCGTTGATGAATGTCTGTCGCTCCGTCTTGACGTCGATTTCGTAAGGATGTGGCAGTCCATATATATTCTGAGTGAAGGCCGGAGTAGGCAGATGAGATGCGAAGATATCATACTGCTCGGGATACGCAGGTCGACTAAGCTCGTATTCTGGAGATGTTGGTGACGGAACGGCCATACTGCGGTTGCGGGCCGAGGGATCTATGACACACCAAGGCTGGTCAGATGGCTATACCTTGATGCGTTCCACAGGAACACTACCCACCAGTCAAAGCACCATTGCGCTCGTTCATCTTTGTTTGCTTGATCTTGTTCTTGATGCGCTCCTTTTGAATCCTCCTCTGCTCGGCATTGCCCCACCAAACAGGACGTTTGTATTCGCATTTGACACAGAGGTTGATACAGGCGCTACATGATGGGTGCTTCTCGTCACACTTCTTCCGGCGTAGGCGGCATGTGAAGCAACCTGAGTGAGAAGCACTGTTGTTAGCCAGACATTCGAGACACCTAGTACTCTGAAGGTACATGTCAGTGGCAACGTACCGGACCGTGAGCGTTTATGTAGCTTCATTGGAACCTTGTCCGTCGTTCTTGTCGATGTACCCTCACTACTAGAAGACGGCTGAGAAAGGTCTTCAGCTTTGATTGGAATCATTGTGGTAGGTGAGGACTTCTTCTTTGATGGAACGGGCATGGTTGATTTTGTATCGTGGCGCACGGTAGGGGACTCGAAAAGGACAGGACACAGGCGCGTGGCGAGTGATTGCTGGGATATGCGGGCTATTAAGGGCAAGACTGAACCAGCAGCCTTTGGTGTCTAAGTGGGGTATTAGAGAACGAAAGGCGCAGGCTGCAAAGGACGAGGCGGCTAAGAGATAATGCTGGGAGACAGTGGTCCACAATCAAAGTTGATATGATCGGTGGGCATGAAGGAAGCTTTAAAGATGAAAGTAGGAGGTCGATCTCGGATGAAGCAGGTCATGATGTTTCTATTTTAGACTCGATTCCGAGCAACCGACAGGGCCGTGAGCACTGAGCACTGAGCACACACACACATACACATGCACATATCGGGGAAATTGCGGTGGTGGGAGTAGAAGCCATAGATTGGGTGGGGAAGGAGGGAAAGGATGATCGTAGCCAGACCATGCACGGACAAGGAACCGGCCACCAGGCGCTCCAAGGCTAATTTTGGATCATTTTGCAAGATACTACACTTCTGGCCATTGACTTGGCGCCCATGGCCGCCCTCTGCACGACTGATTGGATCACGCACGCTGTCAATCTTGCCATGGAGGCAATCTGTTGAACGCTGCTTGTGCCAGGTTAATTTTATCCTGGTGTCGGATTCATGTCCTACGAACAGACACCCTCGTCCCACGTACCCTCTCAAACCGGTGAGACGAGTGTAACATGATCAGAGTATTCCTTTCGGGGAACCTCCTTCACTACAGAGCGATAATAGCATTTGGTGCTATGGAGAAGACTTTCTCACGGTTTTCGACTCGAGGAAAAAGCGTGGCGACCAACAAGCGGCACGCCGCACAATTCCGATTGCCCTCCATCGATACCCAGAAGACGCATTCGCGATGCGCCAATGGCAGGGTCATCTGCAGGCTGGATTAAGTGACCTGACGATGTCAACGTGAAAGGAGTGATATTTACCCGAATGGGAAAATGCATTGGTGAGAATCAAAGGATACCTACGTCTGTAGCCGTTGATAGCGCGGGGACATCCCAATGCCAACCAACTAATATTGAATTGCCCCCTCTTCTCTTCTCGCGAGAAAATTCCCACTAGAGACAGACCAGGAATGAGAGCCCTGCCTCGCGCACAAGGGTCTCGAGCACCTTGAACCAATCAGACTACAGATTGGTGGCCATGTCTGGTCGTCTCTTGTAGTACTCAGTACTCAGTACCTATCTGATAGGCCCGCGGCAGTTGGCAGAAGGGATGAATTTGGCAGGTTTGCGGGGAGAGGGGAGATTTGATCAATAATTCATCAAGAGGCTGCCATCGAGTTGAGCACCTACAGTAGTGGAAGCGCTACCTTTGGAGCTAATTTAGCGTGCTGAGCCAAGCTTCCTGAATTTGGGAGACAATTGGTTGACATCTTCCTGGGTCTTGACAGAGCGGGACAGCCGCAACCAACCGTGCGTGGGTGGATCGGGCCTTTGATGCCCCGTGCAACCAGAGGAAGACCAAGGGAAGTTGGCGCCAAGGTGTGATAAGATGGGCGCTAGCCTCTCAATCCCGACCAAGTCCCTGACAGGAGGGAGGGAGGAAAGGGAGCGCTGAGGGGGTGACGGGGTTCACGAGCTGCTGAGCTGGCTCTTCCTCCTCCTTAATTAGTATCAATTACCCGCCCGCACCGACTTCAATTGCCTAGATTATCTTTTGGTCTTCCGTAATTAGTATACTTCACAAAGCTTTCAGCAGATCTGATAGGCCCACACAGATGGTCTTATCCGCATTGACCGCTAAAGCCGTGCGTTCTCATGATCTGATCCTGAGGAAGATCGAGCCGTGAGAATTCCCAGGTGGGGAAAAAGATGACTGGGGGAAGCTAAAGGCATTTTTGACTTTAGCTGTTCTGCAACCAAGGTGTCCCAGTCACACCTCCTCTCTGGCACTCAATCACTTATCTGGATGGCTGTACCGGTTCCGAACCACCTTCTGGCGGATCGTTGCCCGTGACTCATGTACTTACTGCACCGTATATATGCCTGATTAATATTTTCAATTGTACTGTCTCAGCTAGTCTTGCTTATTGTTAATTGAGACAGATGTCTTGGGATCAATACCATTGATTCTGCAGTCGAAACAACGTTGGTTCTGGGCCTGACAAAGTCGGTGGCCATCACAATCCCGGAAGCGAGTCAGCATGTTGTGGGTGTCACGACGCTTCTGCCGTTTCTTGTCACATTCCTGCAGCTACGGCCTGCATTCCTCGCGAATCGAACAATTAGCGTCCCTTTCGCTTCCCTGTCAATAGACATTTCAGCGAATCAGAGGCGCCCAACATGAGGTCACTTCCTGCCACTCTGTTGTGTGCCCGTGACATGTACACATTCCTTCTGCACTCAATATCCCGCGGCACTGTTGCAACTCCATCCTTGGATATACTGTGGATGCTATCGATTCACGCGAAACTACTGCATAGTTTGTATCTTGCGCCCAACATCTGGGATCAAATTATTGCATCATCTCTCCTGACCAAATCAGCAGTAGTCCTGGAAATTATGCCAGGGATTTTGAACTCGGCCGAAATCAACCTGAGATTCCGTATCATTTCTTTTCTGTGCATAGCAACTCCGAATAAAGTCACTTGATGGGGTGACAAATACGCGAAAATGTAGCCGACGAATGATTTTGCCCAAGCTTATCCCCGGCATATTTCGAGGGCATTGGTCGGCAGTTATTCCTTGTATCTCCGAGCGAGGAAAATTGTGCCGTGATACATCACTCGTCTATACACCTTAGATCTCTGTCCATCAGGCGGGGTAGGACAGGTTCTTTTGCATAACATCTTCTTACCAGCATCTACCAAAATCTCCATCACTCAATGCACTCGTGCGGATTTTTGGATCAAATCTCAGGAACCCAGGCACATTGATCAAAATAGAAACATGTCCAACCTCAAGCGTTACGAGCTGTGGCTAGAATAAGTGTTAATTACTTGCAGTGCTTCTAACCGCCCGTGTTCTATAGAACCCTCTTTCCGGGCGCCTACAAGGTAAATTTGGCCATGCTTTGGTCGAAGATAGAGGATATTGGGACTACTTCCGTCTCATGAAGGATCTATTTTAGGGTCAAAGCCTGGCAATTACTTGCTCGATCCGACGCTACTCTATCAGCTTAGGATCTTAGTTGCATAATCCATTCTATTTTCTGGTTACTGCATCAGCCTTGTCCTTCACCATACTTTCCCCAGTGTATTGGCGCTCAGTTGTAGCCGCCGAACACACTCTTAGAGATTGATCATTCACAAGTACAGGGCCACGAGGGTCGTGCTTTGCATATGTTCGCACTCGCAGGTCGGCGCGTACACGAACCTTGCCATTGGATCCTTATGATTGGCATAATTAGCGATTCCAGTGTGTGGGGACTTAGGGGCCTATCTGACTCCCGGGGGCTTATTCAATGTCGCTGAGGATAGCCTGATGATTCTTTCTTGGTCATCGATGTTAATTTGGGAATCCTAGATGAAAGTGCCTGGTTTCATCGTCATCCAGAACAGAGGATTGGACTGGCTATAATCTTCTTTCGGCGTCGGCCTTGATGCCGCTAAGATGCATGTGGCAGATGTACGATATGCGGTCGGTTATTTCATTCTGCCTTGTGAAAAAGGAATCGCTCGTTCTGTACTTGATGTGAGTGCCTGAATCCCAGTATAGAAAGGATGTCAAAAAGTGGAATGGTATCCAGCTGGCGGCACTACGCAGGATGTAGTGTACGGGGAACTCAAGTTTGTAACTCATTTACTACAGACCCAGTATGAGATAAGTTTACCTCAAAGCTTGGCCAGATTATGATCTATTAATGCTTCCCCGATGAACACTTCGTTGAGTGCTGGATCCCTTGCGCAGCTCCCCACGTCTATTGCGAGATCGTGCAAAACTAAACATTTATGTATTGGTTCAGCGGTGACATGCTTTTCGGCATTCAATTCAACCTACGCCCTACCTTGTATACCCTTAAACCAAAAAGATTTCATACAAAGTTAGTATAGACCACTTCAAGCTGTAGCCTGGTGTAGAATCTTTAAAATTGTGGCTTGTTGAGGCTGCCGGACACTTTCAATACAGTAGGAACTGTACAACACAGCCGCAATCTCATTGGACAGGGCCGGGCTTCTCCGCCAACGGTCGAGATCCGATCCGCTCAGACTCAGTTCAACCTCCGCATTCCACCTTAAGATTGAATCATCTCACAATTCATCCAGGTCGATCTTCTCTCACCGTCAGCGTGTGACTAAGCTACGTGATACATAAGTCTGAACAGCATGTTGCATCAAACAATAGGGCGGATGCTGTCTCGCGTAGTTCCCCAGACAAAGCAGACTTCTTATATCGCAGTGCAAAGCCGTATTGCCTCGACCAGGACATTCGCAAGCCATGCATCACCCTTCCGATCTGTCTCTCGACCTTTACATCAGCCACAGAGCCGTACGTTCTCAAGCTGCGGCCGTAGATGCAGCAATGGGAACTACAACCGATTCAGCAACTCCGGCCGGGGCCCACGGGCGCCGCCGTTGATGTATCACCTGTTGTCGCGGGCGCGAACCGAACATTTCGTTATAATAGGCCTTGGCGCATCGGCGTTCTACTACTATAATACTGAGGTAGTGGAGGTGAGTCCGGTTCTACCTGTTCAGCCTCGAACACCAGGCACTGACAGCTGTTTCTCAGATGACTGGCCGCCGGCGGCTCAACTTCATATCCGTGCAACACGAGCTAGAGCTCGGAGAACAAGCATATCGAGAGATCCTCGCGGAGCATAGAGATCGCATACTGCCAGACTCTCACCCCGATGCCAAGGTAGTACACCGTGTACTCGAGCGACTCATCCCTCAGGCACGCGTAGAGGGCGCCCAGTGGAGAGCACACGTCATCAAAGCGGACAATGTCAGAAATGCCTTTGTTCTTCCCGGGTAGGATTTCTAGCATATAGCCTCATCCAGTGAAGAAATACGATCTCTCTAACCGGTTTGCGATAGTGGGAAAGTCTTCGTCTTCACCGGCATCTTGCCTTTCTGCAAAGATGAGGATGGTCTGGCTGCGGTCCTCGGGCACGAGATCGCGCATGTGGTTGCTCACCATAGCGCGGAGGGTATGACTCGGAATTATCTTCTGAAGTCTATTGTCACGGTTGCCTCGTTTCTCTTCGATATCTCAGCCATGATTCCGGCTTATTTGTCGCATTATCTGATTAACTTGCCCAATTCTCGGGTACAGGAGGTAACCTTCCCGTCTAGACCGGAGATGAATGAAACCGAAGACGAGACTGACCACCGTCTATTGTAGGCCGAAGCGGACGACATGGGGTTGAGTACGGAACCTGAGCGCTCTCGCCTCCTCTCAATCTAATGGCTGACTAACCTTACTTGCTAGTCATGATGGCTCGAGCCTGTTACAACCCGGAGGCTGCTATTGCCTTGTAAGTCACTTGCTGGCCAGATGCATTCTAGGCCGTTTGCTTCTTTTGTGGCAACACATGATTACTGACTTTGTCTCAGCTGGCAGCGCCTGGTGAACAACAAAGAAGAACATGAGATTCATCAATTCTTGTCGACGCACCCTTCGGTAGGTCTCCTGATCAGCGGCCGAGACACATCTTCTATTGAGGCATATCCTAATTCATTGGCCACAGAACGAAAGTCGTATCCATGCTCTCAGTGAAAAGTACGTAAGCTCCTCGACTCAGCCATTGCAGCTCACTGCAACTAACCCGCTCTAGACTCAACACAGCACAGGCTATCTATCTGGATGGTGGCTGCAAGATGGCGAATGAATACAGTATGTCGCTTTCCATCCTTGCCTGGTTCTGTATACTTTGGCTGACAATCCTTTCAGTGCCCGACTTTAGGAGAGCCTTCGCTAATCACAGGGAGTTCTGAAGCACATGATTCCGATTATCTCTTGGTACTTGTACATAAAATAGTCTATGTAAATCCCCAATCCTGTATCAACACAACCCCACATAATTCGTTCTAGCCCGCACTAGGTAGTGAACCCGTACGCCAACTATATCAATCATCTCCGAATGTTCTACTCTTTTCTGGCACAAGGTCTTTCCAATAGTCCTGTTATTTATTATTACTGCCTTCGAATAGACAGCCCCAGCACATCACCAGCGGATTGCTGACTACCACTCGGCAAAAAGCCACACAAACTCGAGCAAGATTCCCTTCGGGCCCGAAGCTTCGGGAGGCCCGAGTTGAGCGGTATCTCGGGCCCGAACATGTCCATAGTATCTACATAGTACTTATTCCCCAACGCCCGAGCATTTAATATATATACCATGAAAGCCCAGCATCAGCAGATTATTCCGGGACCAATCCAAGCATCTCGGTCACAATATCTACCTTAAATGACCTCTAGTCCATCAATAACGACGAACAAAACCAACCCATGTCGAAACCCATCCTCATCGTCGGCGCGGGCCTTGGGGGCCTCGCCCTCGCGCAAGGCCTCAAGAAGAACAACATCCCCGTCCAGATCTACGAGCGAGACGCCAAGCAAGATTTCCGCGCCCAGGGCTACCGGCTGCGCATCGGGACCGAGGGCATCTTTGCCCTCCGGGCCACGCTGACCCCGGAATTGTTCGGCCTGTTCGAGGCAACCTGCGCGGAGAACGGGCTGCTATCCGGCGGTGCCAGGCTTGATGCTTTGTCCGGGAGGGCTTTGATCCAGCAAGTAGGCGGCGGCGGCGGCGGCGGCGGCGGTGGTGGTGGTGCTGGAGGAGGCCCTCCCATCCAAGCCCACGGCTCTCTGAAGCCGTACACCGTTGACCGCGGGGTACTGCGCGAGGTGCTCATGACCGATCTGGATGACGAAATACACTTTGGGAAGCGGTTTACGCACTACGATGTCCGCCAAGGGAAGAATGGGGAGGAGAGTAGCGAGAGCACTGGAGTGATCGCGTTCTTCGACGACGGGACCTCGGAAGAAGGCGCCTTGCTCGTCGGCGCGGACGGACTACGATCGCAAGTGCGCAAGCAGCTCCTGTCGCCGTCCTACCCGTTCTTGGACACGGGGATGCGGATCGTGTACGGCAAGACCTACATCACGCCCGAGTTTGAACAGCGCTTTGCGCGAGAGGCCATGGGGGGAATGTCCCTGGTCACCGAGAGGGAGACGGAGGCGCCGAAGACGCTGCTGCTGGAAGCCATTCGGTTCCCGCAGGCGGATACGCCAGTGCGCGGGATCCAATTGCCGAGGGATTATGTGTACTGGGTCTTACTGGCGCATAAAAATGATATCCCGTTGGGAGATGAGGAGGCGTTGAGGTTGGACGGGGACGGGTCGGCGAGGTTGTCATTGGAGCTTACGGCGGAATGGGATGCGTCTGTGAGGGTCTTGTTCGAGGAACAGGATCGGAACCAAACATCCACGTTGAGGATCTGTTCTGTGAGGCCGGATGTCCCGGCCTGGGAGGCACATGCGACGGTGACGCTTCTCGGAGATGCGATCCATGCCATGCCTCCAACTGGCGGCATGGGCGTGAACACTGCACTGCGCGACGCGGAGGATATGGTGCGGAGGATTGTTGAAGTGAATGGGTCAAGTGGTGTGGATGTGGATCTGGTCGCAGGGTATGAGGAGAGTTTAAGGAAATTTGCGAGGGAAGCAGTCAGACTCAGTTGGGAAGGAGGACGAAGAGGATTCGACTTGAGACCAGCTGAGACATGTGAGGAAATAGTTTTGTGAGATAGTTGTTTTCTGAAGGGGACGAGGGAAGGTGTTGGCTGTGGGTTGGTGGCAGGTTGGCTATGCATGTATTGATCTCTCCTCACATACACAGCGCATATTCCAGCAATATTCTCTGGCTCCTCGTTGGCAAGAGACTATGCAGTAGTTGCAGTAGTTGCCCATGGCAAGTAATATAGAAAGTGATGCAAGAATTGGAAGATCAATGCTCCGTCGTGGAAGAGGAAAGTTGTAAATGGATAAGCATGCCGAGCCCCTCCGCGTGCAAACCAAACAAACAGCCGCCGCCAGACCGTCTCCAAGCTCCGTCGAAAATTCCCAGAACAGCTACAGGCCAGTGTTGAGGAAGTGTCCCCTTACTCTCTCTATTTGGATATTTCCCCAAACTCCAGAGGAAGTAACCCTTCATCATGTCACTGTCTCTTCCCGGACCCTCCCAGGCGGGTCTTTTCAAGCCTGGGTACCAGAGGTAAGCGAAAGCCCACTCGTGGAATGTCCCCGCCCCTCAAGCCATCAATACCGCCAGGTTCAGCAGGCCAGTAAACTTATATGATATGGATTGGGGTTATGATCATAGAACAGCGGCTGACACTTCATTCTCTATAGCCACGATGCCGAAGATGGTGCCGTCATTCGCAACATCGAAGCCTGCCAGGCTATTGCTCAGACTGTCTTGACGTCGTTGGGCCCTTACGGTCGCAACAAGATTGTCATCAACCATTTGCAGAAAATGATCCTTACTTCGGATGCGGCTACCATTCTCCGTGAACTGGAGGTTGTGCACCCCGCTGCTAAGCTGCTGGTGATGGCCAGTCAACAGCAGGATCAGGAGATGGGAGATGGTACCAACTTGGTCATTGTTCTCGCCGGAGAGTTGTTGAAGAAGGCCGAGGAGTTGCTGCGCATGGGCTTGAAGACGAGTGATATTGTTCAGGGCTACGAGAAGGCACAAAACTTTGCGCTCAAGACGCTAGAAGGTGGGTTGATTCTTCCGGCCAGGAGCGCTCGGCGGCCTCAGGGGCTGCCATGAAACAACAAACCAGGCAGACAACGAGTGACTCAACAATCACTGACGCTTACTTGACAATAGATCTCGAGGTCGATCGCCTTCAAGAACTCCGCTCTCAGACCGAGCTTACCAAGGCTCTCCGCACAGTCGTCGCCAGCAAGCAGTCCGGAACCGAAGATCTTCTGGCCTCTCTGGTTGCAGAGGCTGTCCTTGCTGTCCTCCCCAAGAACCCCGCCAACTTCAATGTCGACAACGTTCGTGTCGTCAAGATCATGGGAGGTGGCTTGGAGCAGTCTCGTGTGGTCAAGGGTATGGTTCTTGGCAGAGAGCCTGATGGTGTGATCAAGAAGGCTACCAAGGCCAAGGTTGGAGTCTTCAGCTGCCCCATCGACATCTCTCAGACCGAAACCAAGGGTACCGTGCTGTTGAAAAATGCGCAGGAAATGCTGGACTTCACAAAGGGTGAGGAGGAGCGTTTGGAGGCGGCTATCAAGGAACTTTACGATTCTGGTCTGCGTGTGGTCGTCTGCGGTTCCACCGTTGGTGACCTGGCCATGCACTTCCTTAACCGCTTCAACATCCTTGTGATCAAGATCCTCTCGAAGTTCGAGCTGCGCAGACTGTGCCGTGTGGTCGGCGCCACCCCTCTCGCTCGCCTGGGCGCCCCGATGCCCGACGAGATGGGTAGCATCGATGTTGTCGAGACTACCGAGATCGGCGGTGACCGGGTGACCGTCTTCCGTCAAGAAGATGCCAACGCTGTCACTCGTACATCCACCATTGTCCTGCGTGGCGCTACCCAAAACCATCTCGATGACGTTGAGCGTGCGATCGACGATGGTGTCAACGCAGTCAAAGCTATCACCAAGGATCCCCGCCTGGTTCCTGGTGCCGGTGCCACCGAGACTCAACTTGTGGAGAGAATCTCCGCCTTCGCGGATAAGACTCCTGGCTTGCCCCAGCACGCTATTCGCAAGTACGCCGAAGCGTTCGAGGTGGTTCCTCGCACCCTGGCCGAGTCGGCTGGTCTGGACGCTACTGAGGTTCTGTCTCGTCTCTACACCGCACACCACCGGTCTGCCAACAATGATGAGTCGGAGGAATCGTCTGCAGAGGAGGGCAGCTCCGAGAAGGAGGAGCCTTACTGGACCACGGGTGTAGATTTGGAGATTAGCTCTTCAGCTGGAACCCTTGACGCCGTGGAGGAGGGCATCCTGGACCTGCTAGCATCCAAGAGCTGGGCCATTCGTCTCGCGAGCGAGGCTGCCCGCACGGTGCTCAGCGTTGACCAGATCATTGTTGCTCGACAGGCCGGTGGTCCTAAGCCACCGGGCCCCAACCCCAACTGGGATGAGGATTAAATGTAATATTTAGGAGAATATGATATCCATTGGAGGCTCAAAAGCATGGAATGTGATAGACACGACAATCATGAATTGCCCATTGACCTATCCATGGGCATCTGTATATTTCGCAGGCTCTAGTAACAGTAGTGGTAGATGATTATTCTCATCCGTACATCCTGGAATACTTCGTCTACTGCTGCTGATCTTTTCTATAATATACCTGACCGTTCCTGATATACATAGTGAGTACTCGATTCTCTGTTGACAGAACGCCGACTAGCGGGTGCCGGTATCACGTGACGCGACTGGATTTTCCGGACCGAGACTCGACTTTCTTTTCCCGCAAAGGCACTTTTCGAGCATTCGATCACTTCGAGCAGCTTGAATCCCCTTGGCCTAGCCACCTTCTGTCGCCCCCATCCAGATCGCCTCCTTTTACGCCCAGCATGTCCATGTCTACCCAGTTCGCAGCTCGCTGCTGCAGACAGGTTGTCCGCCCTACCGCTTCCCTGCGCGTTTCCTCCGCTTCATACCTGTCCAGCAGCCGGAGATGGCAATCCTCGGAGTCTGCTGCTCCTGCCAACCCCAAGATCACCCAGATTGTCGATCAGATC